CGGTGGGGGGTTGTTATGATAATGATATGATATACTTGCTGATTAGTGATGGATGCTTGGGTGTTACTGTTCCATATTGGGGATTATACATTGTGCTTACCAGCTGGGGAATGATAATACAGAAGAGGCTGTCTAAAATTAGTTGGTTTTTTTTGGGGGGGGGATGGGGGGTTCAGTCCTCTAAGCCATCTGGGTGTTACTATAAGTAAGCACTTTTACTTCATCTAATGACACGGCTGGTCAAACTTTGTTTCTGTTCAGAATTAAGTCATTTTTTATGAACCATTGAAATAATCGGTGAAAGAAAAAATCTCCTAGTCTATGATCAGAATTATTTCTCAGTGATTATTCAAGTAAACCATTACCACTTCAGCATGGCAATGATATTTTTGTAATGTGTTTTAGCAATGGGTACCTTTTCTGATATTTCACCAGATGTGAAGGACGGTTTGGTCGGTGTCGGTATGATCAACATTGATCCTCGAACTGGCCATGCCAGTTTGGAGAAAGGTAAGTTTAAGTTGTCTTCTCATGTCTGTATCTTCTTTAATGATTGGACGGAGGCATGAAATATATATGGGCTATCAGTAAAAAGGTGAACGTTTTGGAGGGGGTATACCTTTAGCTCTCATTTCGAATGTAAAATTTATATTTCTAATTTGATGCAGGAATTTGTTATGTATAAGTTTTTTCAATTGGATTTTTAGTGCACTTCGTTGCCTGAAGAAAATAAATTTGCCAACGACACCAGTGCATGAAAAGTTCTTTTACGTGGAATCGAGAAATTGCTGCATTTATTAAATTTATAAGAAATTCAAGTGTACACCATAGTGAAGAAATCAGTTGGGTCAGGTTGATTAGATGCATATGATTTGTCAATGTAAGACATGTCAAAGCAGTTTTTTAAATCTCATGTTGATTTATTTTTTTTTAAAGACAGAATGGAAAATATATCAAGTTACAGACAGGTTTCCTTGGTTGTTTAATTATTTTTTAACGAACTGAATACACAACTAATTCTCTCTTCTTTTTTTTTCTTTTTTTAAAATTCTTCCTAGATTTCAACAACATTTCCAAGTTCCTCAACCGCATCCTGGGCATGAAGGTGGCTGTGCAGAATGCCTTGTTTAAGTATTTCACCGACACGCTCACCTCCATCATCCTGGATGCTAAGCGCAACGGGCGCTGGGATATGGGAATCTTGGGTAAGCCACAGTGACTTTTTGTGGAAAGAGGTTGGATAGAGAGTTTTATTTACCTTTCTTTATGTACCAAGCATTTATAACTCAATTATACTTACAAAGTTATGCTGGCGTGACTGATATATATATATATATATCCCAAAAACCTCAGGTATGTGTTGACACAGGTTAGCTGGTATGATATAATGTGTGACTTAATGAATAGTCGAGTTCCTTTAGCCTCAAATAGGCACGTATTTATATGTGTGCTTTGATGAAAAATGAAGTTTGGTGGGGAGTAATTTTTTCTAATGGTGTTTAATCTCATGTAGCCAGTAGGGGGGACTGAATACATGTGGCGCTATGTATCATAAAGCTTGAGAGGCTTTTATTCACTGGAAAGCATAGTTCTCATGTCTACTTTTATATTACTGACATCTTGTCTAATGATTTCCTTGTCGCGCTCTCTCGGACTTGCAACCGTAAGGTCGTGGGTTCGAATCCCGTCAGGGGTTCGACGTTGTGTCCTTGGGAAAGGCACTTTACACGAATTTTCCTCACTTCACCCAGGTGGGAATGGGTACCCGCCTATAGACAGCGAAAGATCTTGTCAGTTTGTTAAAGTGTTCGAGCGCTTAATCAGCTGCTTGCACTGTATGCTTCCCGGGAAGCTGAGAATGTTTCGGAGTGTTCTATGGTCTGCTGGGGTAATAATATAGTGTAAAGCGCATAGAGCCTGCTGTTGAGCGGGGATATGCGCTATACAAATGCTATTTATTATTATTATTATTATATGACCCTATGCAGTTGTGAGCACTGTAAAACTCTTACTAAAACATATTTCCTTGTCTCGTGGATTTTCAAAAAAAATATTCTGGTTTAACATTACAGATTTGGGTTCTGGAGAGGAGAAGGTGCGTAAGATCGAGACCAAAATCTTTGTGGGCAACACTGCCACCAACACCGCTAAGACGGAACTGACCAAGTTTGCAGTGGAGCGTGGCATGCCTTGGCACTCGGCCATTGAGCTTTGGCGTCGGTGTGGCTCGCTGGAGGAGGGCTTCTACTGCACGCTGCAGGTAAGTGCGATGCTACTTGTCGTCATTATTTTATTGAACAAAAGAGTGGTGGGTTGGAATTCACAGGGTAGGAGATGAAGAGGAAGACTATGTGGAACATGGAGAAGAGTAAAAGAAAATAATGTATGGGTAAATGGAAAGACATGGTATAATGTTAAGAAGCTTTCTCAAGGTAGAAAAAAGTGGGAAGTGTTTGTCGGTGGTTTATAACCTGACCCAGGATGAGAAAGGCAGTGATGATCGTTATGTTGTTGGATCAATCGTTATGTTGTTGGATCGATCGTTATGTTGTTGGATCAATCGTTATGTTGTTGGATCAGGAAGGTTTTCTTTTCACCCGTTTTGCACTGCTGTCTAGCACTTACATATTCCCTGCACCTGTTTTAGTCCCAAAAGATTCCCCCGGTTTAGGCCTGTTTGAAACGTTCACATTAACAGGCATAAAAACCAAAAGCCATGATACTGATGATTGTATAGTGAAAGAAAGGGTCTGCTACAAAATATTTTTCAAATGTCAACACTAAAACTATGTGTGGCAGCCGTCTTGGACAATTTAAGCTGTACCCAATCGGCCATTATGAGTAACTGCCTTTCATAATTTAACTTTCTTTCCCCGCTTAACTCCCTGCTCTACTTGTTTGCTCGATAAAGGACCGTATCTTCAAGAAAACGGTGGTGCTGGCGGTGGTTCAGGGCAAGAACAAGAAGCGGGAGCTGATGTACAACCTGTACCGGCCCAACACGGGCCTGCAGGGCCGCTGTGAGACGCTGGAGGAGATAAAGAAAAAGTACAAGAAGTGCCTGCCGGACGTGGCTGAGCCCCTGTGGGAGGACCAGTACACCTCCTCAGAGACGCATTGTAGCCATAAGTACCTGTGAGTGGAAGGATTTGTCTCGGGGGGGGGGGGGGGGGGGTTTGCTGCCGCTGACTAAAATGTCTTTAGACCATTCCCAAATGGGGGACATTAACATGTTCTTATGCACAGTAGAATTGTAATTGGGCTGATTCATCAATGTCACGCTCATAACTGTGCCTGAACTGCAACAGAGAACTGCTGCTTTTTCTTTCCTAATCCTTACTATCGTCATTTTTCCTCTACTTCTTTTGTATGTTTGTCTTATGCAGTTGCGAGCGCCGTAAAACCTCTACGAAAAGTAACATTTGTATGTTTGTCGCACTCTTGTGACCCACTATTTCCGGGGTGCCTCTGATAGTCGAAGCAGACCTTGTGCTGTTGAGGCTAGAGAGGTGAGCAGAGTAAACCTGATTACCTGTAAAATCTTTTCTGTTGACATCCATCACTTGGAGCTCATATGATCGTATGCTTTTGCGAGCGCTGTAAAACCTCTACTAAAACAATCTCTCTTTCTCTCTCTCTCTATCACTCACACATTTCCCTCCCACCTTCCTCGTGAAAAAGATAGTTTGATAATTCAGAACAGGAGCTTTTCCAGTTTGTTTTCACAAGGTCTTGCTTATTTAACTTTTCAAAGTGTATTTAAATGTATCAATTGTAGCTAGCATTGTAGAGTTAACAACGTATCACTTACAGGGAGAAGTGGAGTATATGTGTGTGTGTGGTGTCAGTGGTCTAGTGGTTAGACTGTCGGGCTCAAATCTGAACAGGTCATGAGTGTCAACCCTATCATTGTGAACTTGGGAAAGGCTCTAGCTTAAATTTTCCGTGAAGTGTATTTTGGTAGAATTTTAGCTCTTAGTAGGAGTTTCGTTGCACTTTATGCTTCGTAGATACAAGAGGACATTTCTGAATATTCTAGGGTCTGCTGTGGCGAGTGGCTATAATAGTTGTAAAACACATATGTGAGGTGTGCTGACAAAATGAGTTACTTTTCGCAATCTACAAATGGAGATATTGGCCAAAAATCCACACTTGGGTCAAATTTGTAGATTTTATATTGATGAAATATTCTTTAAGTATAACACGCCCTTTATTCTTTCATACGTATAAATTGCAAAAACGTCACCCATAAGCGTGATGTATCTATTTCTAAAGGGTTTGAATCTGAGAAGTAACTCATTTTGTCTGCACGCTTCACATATAGAGCATACTGAAGAGCAGGGATGTGTGATGTGAATGCTGTTATAATATCTGCATTAAATTGGAAAAATATGTTTTTGCTGATAACATCCCAATTGTACATCTTTCAGACGCGGCAACTGTCGGAAGGCGGCCACTGGCCAGCAGTGTGAGTTCGGCCTGCGTACCCGGTTCTACCACGTGCTCAGCGGCTCAGTGCTCAGTGTGTGGAGCAAGGTGGAGAGTGTGCTGGTGGGGCTCAATGCCGCCTCACGCATGCAGATCATCCGGCTCAGGACGGAGGAAAATCAGCGCATTGTTGGTACGTTCCTGAAGCTATGGGCTCTGCCCCCCCACCCACTTGGGTTGATGTTTAAGCTGATGCAGCATTCAACATTAGTGAAAATTAAATTTATTTTAAATTATCAAACGATGACATGTGTGTCATGACAGTGGGACTTTCATGTGCACGTTTTCATTCTGAGATGAATTTTCAAAATATGCCCCCACCATGCTCTCTAATAGGCTAGCAAGGGTTGTTGGATATGATGTGGACCTGGTTCCTGTTCCTCTATGATATTTTTTGGGGGGGGGTTCAAAAACTTCTATACTGCAGGAAGTGGATTTTGGTTTATTTTCTCTTTCCCTGTGTCTTTCTTTGTGTGAGGATGGTTTACTGCTGCTACTTCTCTGCGTTCCTGTTCTCCTTGTATCAAAATGCCAGGACTACCATGCTGAACGGATGGAAAAAATCAAGTCTAGATTTGTGTACCTACTGTTCGAAGCACTGTATGCTTCCCAGGAAGTTGAGAGATTTGTTTCAGGATGCCATCTAGTTTGCTAGAATCTAGATTGTAAAGTGCATAGAGCTTGCTTTTGAGCGTGAATTTGTGCTATACAAATGCTATCTATCATCTATTATTATTTTATTCAGTGGATTTCTTTCTTTCTCCATTCCAGGAAGCCTGATTCCTCCAGCGGGCGTGTATCCTTTGGAGCGAGTCTTGAGTCAAGATTCTGCTAAAACATACACAGAGAAACATGACAATCCTTTTGAGTTCCTCAACCAGCAGCAGCATCAACAACAGCAGCAGCAGCAGCAGCCACAGCCGTCCTACATTCCCCGCAACAACTTCTCCAGCAGCAGCAGCTTTCCCAACAGTCTGTTGTCGTCTTCCAGCGGTCGGAGCAACAGCATCAACAGCACCCACAATTTCAACAACAGCAGCGGTGGCAGCATGTATGTCCGCAATGACTCTGCTTTGAGCGACGCCGGCGGCCCGGTGGAGAGCCCTGTGGCTGTGGAGGAGGTGGAGGAGAAGCCCGAGCTGCTCAGCATGCCCACCCTGGTCTGGTAGTTCATAGTGCTGGTGACAGTGACTCTTGTATAGAGCTTCCCAGTGACAGTTACTATCATAAATCTGGCCTGCGTGCCTAGCCTGGTGTGACAGTGACCGTTACAGGGCTGCCTAGTGACGGTTACTACTGTCATAGACCTCGACATAACGCACGCCTTGGAGTGATACTTTATAGTGCTGGTGACATTTACTGACATACAGTTGACCATTACAGAATCTCTGTATTGTCAGTGACAGTGATAATTACTGTCATAAACTTGGCCTACAAGCCCGTCCAGGTGTGATAGATTAGTGCCGGTGAAAGTTGACTGACAAAAAGTTGACCCATGACAGAATTTCTGTGTTGTCAGTGACAGTTACTGAGTTAGAGCTGCTCAGTGACGTTACTGACGTTGGGTTGGCCGTGAGTAGATCTGTGTGTTGTCAGTGACGTGCCGTGCTGTTCTCTTTGGACCACCATCACTGCACAGTTGTCAGTTGCTTTGCTGTCATCGGTGTAGAGTTGCCGATGACATTTCACAGATCTGTCGGTGACAGTTGCTACAGAAGCTGTCTGGAACGGACCTGCCTTCGGTTGTGCTGTTGTTAGTGACGATGAATACCAAAGAGCTGCCACTGCTGTAAAGTTTTGGATGGCGGTGATTTCGGCATTGATGTGGAGAAGGCTTACTCTCATGGGATTTGATTGCTGACTTGACCTAGAGGAGTGGATGGAAGTGGAACAACTTAGGGTTGCCTTGGAGGGTATATCAACAGGGTCACCGTTTGGAGTTTGTGAATGTTGAACAATACCCTTTTGGAGTATGTGGGATGTGGTTCATACACCATCGTGTCTTTCAGCTCAAGCATTACATTCGTAGTGTCTAAATGAGGCTTGAGTGTTTCATTTCTAGAGAAGCAGTATATTTTTCCTGAAAGTGTTTAGGACCACCCCCCACCCTCACTCATGCACCCACACACACACACACACATACATCTCATTTTGAATGTGTTTGCTTCATGTGTAGGTTTTTATTAAATTGCAGCCTGCTGCAGGCCTCAAAACTTTTTGGGACTTTTGATTTGCTTCTTCTGTGACTTGAACCTCATTCAGACGGACTGGGCAACATATGTTGACATATCGACCATATTCATGATCACTGTACACACCTTCCTTGTTCATCAAACACTCTGTGAAAAGTCAATCTTATTCCTGTTTGTTTGTTTTTTCTTTGTTTTTTTTTTGTTTTTGTTTTTTAAAGAAACTGAAAAGTTTCTTTGCGCCTTCTCCCCCACCAGCAATCCACTCTGTTTCTGCTTTCCGGTAATTATGCTGTCACCCCCCCCCCCCCAATTCTTTCTCTTTGTTGTAGCACAGTATGCCCTGATAGTCCATTAGGTTGTCTGTCCTTGCTTGTTTGTGCATTTATATATTGGATTGTGTGGTACTTCTGCGAAAAAATGTTGACTGATAGGAAATGAATTAGACGATGGTTTCATTAGTTTGATGTGCTAGTATTTTCTTGTTGAGTGTGCAGCTGCCATGGACAATCGGTCAGAGATGATATCGAGATCAACAGTTGTTTTTGCATCAGGTTCTAAACAGTTTAGGCTGACAGCTGTTTTGGCCGTTATTTGAGCTTGAGATGTACAGCAGAGCTTAATTTAACCAGCCGCCAAGCTTAATTAAACCAGCCGCCATTAGGGGAGGGGGTGGATCCCTAACTAAGTGCCAATTTCTTAATCCCCAAACTGGTTGATCAGTGAGGAATTATGATTTTGTTTTGTGCATAAGACAAGTATTCATTGGAAGTAGATTGATTAGTCAGTTGGCAACAACTTGCTTTCACACTTTTAATTTCCACCATACTGGCCTGCGGGGTGATATAGAGTATTAGATTTTTGTAGGAGAAGCAGTTTTTGTCACTATTTGCTACTGTTTCCTTGGAGCCTCAAGGTGGCACATCCTCCTTCTTGTCCCTAGGTGGAATAAACAAGAGGGGGGAAAAGGCACAGTTTGAAAATTTAAAATGTTCGTCTCTGCGTTGTGTGAAAAAGATAGTGTGGTCTTTCCCCTATATTTGTTTTGATTTTTTTATTTTTAACTTTAGTTTGAACATCTGACAAAGGAAAAGTTTTCATGATGTAATAATCTTAAGTTTCCCTTTTGTTTCTGCGTTGCCATTTTGTGTACAGACATGGTGTAGTCCTTGCAGACAGGAATTTCTCCCCCCCCATTTCCACGTTGCCATTTTGTACATAAATCTTCACCCTTTTTGTGTGTGAGAGAGAGAGAGATGGAAAAACTGATGCTAACTCGACCCTCACTCATGTACAGTCCATAAATATTTTCTCTCGTTTTTTCATGCACTAGTGTACATCCAAAGATACTGTGCCTTATCAAGTCCCATCTTTGTGCTGCCTCGGATGTACAGAACACTACGTACATCTTTTGAAACTGGTTATACTTGCACATCAAACACTTGTCTTGTTTTTTTTTTTTCTCAATTCCGTGTTTTCCCATGGGGGGGGGGGGGTTGCTATGTGTAAGTGTGTTTCTGAGAAAATTGTTTTTGGTTATTATGTTCCTTGTTTTAATCTATCATTGCATTTAAGAACCGGTTTGAATTTGAATCTTTCGTTGTTTGTTGATGTATGGCATTTATTTTTATTTTTTGGTTCAAATTCGAAGAGTCTCGTCAGTCAAGTTGGAGGGTGTACTTGATGACTTGAAGTAAGCAATATGAAGGTAGGCGGTGAAGCAACTGCAACTTTGTATTTAGGAAAATTGACTTTTACAAAGCACTGCTTTTCTCATATACATATATATATATTGCTGGAATGAAGCCTTGAGTAATCAGATGTGGGGATGTGCTAGCCCCAAGCTGTTAATTTGATGATCACATAAATATTTCTTGGGTTGAATGCAAAGTGTCTCCTCATTACTGTAGGGGGAATAAAACTTTTCGGAATGGAAATCTTGGCTAGGCAAAAAGGTGAAAATGACAAATGTTTTCTTTGTCTCATCCGTGGCTCCACGAACAGACTTTGTGTTTGGCTTTTGTCAACATCTGTTGTTACTATTTTTGAATTGGGAAATAGGCGGTGTGTCATATTGGCGAATTTATTCGTTGTTTTAAAAGAATGTTTCGGTAACTGCTTTTTCTGGAGATCTTTTCGTTTTGTCCTGGACCTTTGTGAACAAAATAGCTATTGGGCCTGTACACGGCATTGTCTCAGCTATCCAGCCCACTTTGAACAAAAGTTGTGGTGACCCTTGCTAAAGCGTGTTGTTTAATTTGAGATTTTTTTTCCCTTTGGTTGTTTGATGATCTAGTTCCTCTGGTTAGGAGCTGTACAGTATCAGGAAGGGTTGTGTGAGTTGGGATATCTTTTAGATTTGCTCTGTTGCTTCTTGCCAAAATGTTTACCTGCCAGAATGTGGTTGGTTGGTGGGTGCTCTGGTGTGGTTTGCTCCTTCTTTCCTATCAAGCATCTATCGTCCTTATCTCCCTTTGTTCTTTTTTATGTTTGTTACTCCCTTGTAACACCTCTAATCTACTGGCGCTCATATGACCCTATGCAGTTGCGAGCACCATAAAACCTCTACTGAAACTTAAACTTACCTGCCAGAATTGGTCTCATTGACCATTGCAAAAGCCACAGGCTGTTATCTTAACCTTTATTTCTTCAGTTTCACTTAAGAAATATTCTCCTCTGCAGATGCATATAGGTCATTGTCAGACGTTATTATTTTACATTTTATTGTTCTCTCCAAAGAACGATTTAGTTGAGAAGAATTGTGTGGGTACTGACTGAGGTGACTCCCTGAAAATGGGCACTTGTAAAGAACTTGATCTTCAGAGCAAATCTACTGTGCAGCTGATCATGCTTTTGAGTTGAGAGTATTAGAAGGAGAGTTTGTGACCAAGTTTTGAGTTGTGTTGGGGGGGCTTTTACTTTTGCCTGAAAATGATTTCTTCCTCCCCCCCCGGTGCCCGGTTGGGGGGGGGTAAACTTGGTTCCTGTCTTGTACATTTTTATCACTCTAGGATGTACCAACTCACTTGGTCCTGTAAAATTGTAAAATGCTCCTTATTTTGTGTACATAAAACTGAACTATGTATCGTGTACATACAGCTGTGACATAACGTGAGCGGTGGCCTCTAGCAACAAAGGGGCCCTCGTGTCCTTCCAAAGATGACTGTTACGGAGATCATATATAAATAGATATATATACATACCAGTTTTGGTAAGTGTACATAGCATTGCTGGATCAGAATTGGTGCAATGTGTAAATTATGACGGAAGAAAAATGGAAGCTCATTTTGTTGTTTCTCACGCCCATTCCTGCACTCCATTCTTCTCGTTGTTGTCTTGTTGTTTTGTTTTGTTTTCTTTTTTCTAGTCTTTCAAACTGACTTGTGACCCTGTATTGTATTCTTTTGCTTGTGACCACAAACGACATGTGAAATCCACTAGGGACCACCGGCTTGGTTGAGTGTATTCAGGGTTTAATAGAGAGAGAGAGTGTGTTGTGAAACAACTTTAGCATGAGGTCAATGACCGAGTTGAACATTTGAATTGGAGAGTACATAGAGAGAGTCGATTTATGTTTTTTTCAGAGGTCAGACTTGTGTGTATGCGTAGCAGAGATAGAATTCCATGTTGTGAAGGAGAAAGGATCTGCAGTCTGGGATGAGTGATAAGTTGAAATGACGATGGATCTTGCTCTCAGCTGGATTGCGTATAAATTGACAGCTATCTACATAAATTGTAGACCATGTTTGCGTGTGTATGTATTTCATGGGTGAAGCTTGTATATGATTATGAGTATGGTCTTTGTGTTTCCTGTATGATAATGTGAACAGTTGTATGTTTTGAGAATGCAGCCTATGATTATATTGATGATGTATGTGTTGTTTTTTGTTAATTCGTCTATTTTTTTTTGGGGACTGAAGTGATGAATATTAGGGGCCGATTGTGTTGTTATGAATTTTAATCATGTGTGTGAGAGGGATTTTGATTATGTTGTTGACACTAGTAGAAATGAGCTGAAGGAATTGAATATTGCACATGTGGGACAGACAGAGAAAGAGTGTGCGCAATTTGCAAGCTTGGGGCTATCTTGTTGTGGGGGGGCTCTCGTGGCCTAGAGGTTAAGGTGTTGGCCTCTCATTCAAAGGTCCCGGGTTCGAATCTGGGTAGCGACCGAAAAATTTTCTTCTCTAAAATTGTCTCCTTTCACCTTCCTTCCTGCTCTCTAGCAATGTTCTGTTGTCTGCTTTCATTTCCACTTTCTGCCCCCACCCCCTCACCTCATTTGCCCCCTCCTCTGGGCTCCTGACTCTTTCTTCTGCTACTCCTTGGCTCTTCCTTACTGATGTCTTTCTGCCACACCCGTGATCTTCTGGTAGGAAAGATCTACACCTAGCCTTCTCGGACAAGGGCGAAAAATCTCGGAGGGCCTGTGTGCAAGTTGCGCACGTTAAAGATCCCTTGGTGGTCTAAAATGGATAAGAGTAGGCTTCGGCCGCCACCCGGGCAAAATTCAAAAATTTCCTACCTACTGAAAATATTAGGTGTGTCCCGCGCGCTCATATGACCTTATCTCTCTGGTTGTGATTTACGTCACTTTGAAAGCGCTGGATTTCAGTTGCAAATATTAGGAGGCAGTACAAAATGGAACTGAAAAGTCTGTGGACCGTACACAAATAACCATAATATCTTGGGGCTCAAGGGGGAAGATTTTGCTACCGTCTTGACAGCTCGGCACCTCAGAATTACAAAGATCTATCGGCTCAAAACCTAGTTTTGAGAAATTTTACGTCAAAATTAAAAAGTTTCACAATATGTCACGCTTTTTCAAATGCAATTCTGTAAATGTCTTGAGAATGACTCTAAATATTCTCACAATTTTTATAGAACTGATAGAGCCTTTGGTTTCTGTCCTAACTGTCTTAGTGACCTTATGCAGTTGCGAGCGCCATATAACCTCAACTAAAACTAAACTAAACTTAGTAACTCAAAACGGCCTAAGATGTCAGATAAGATTGTAATTCTGAGGT